AATCATATTGATCTATGCATCGTCGATAATACAAAACACATATTAGGTTTCCTTTGGAAATGTTGTCCTCTATTAAATTTATTTGAAAATAAAAATGCGTACTCTATAAATCGCAAATTTCATCTAGTTGGTACTTTGAGGGGGGGGGGGAAGTTGAAAAAGTTTAATTCTTCACAGACGAAAGTTGAAAAAACAAAAAAAAAAACCGTACGAGTTTTTAAGTTAGAACTTTTACTGGCTATAGTTTCGAGAAAAAGAGTCAGATCAAGATGAAATGTATAAGAAATAATTATTTTGTATGCCCGCATACGGCAGTTGTATAAAATTTAAACTATACCCATTTCCCACCCCCCTAGGGGGGGTACAAGTTGTTTTGTTTTTCGGGGTTTTTCGCCGTAATTTTAAGACATTTGGGTTGAAAATTTGGCAGTAGTTGGAACTCATATGTATCCATAACATAATAAACGGAAAAAAAATTCGGCACTGCAGTTTTTTTTTAATTGCCGGAAAACTGTGTTTTCGTAGATTGCGTTTATTTTAACAAAAACACCTAAAATCTTTAAAAAAAATTTATCAAATCTTTAAAAGAATTTTATGTTTATCTATGCAGAATGATACTATTAAGTTTTGTGCTCAAGTACCACTTTTGACTTTAAGTTTGAACAAATTCAATTTTTTTTTTTTTTAAACTAAAAAACACGGTGTACCAGATATGAGAAACGAACAGACACTAAAAACTGTCAGGAGGACTGTTGTTTTTTGGATTCAGATTAAGTGTTGGTTTTTATGCAGTATACCGCCCCAAAATGTATTTTTTATTACACAATTTTTTTAAAGGAGAACTAATGTTTTGCATATTGTTATACTGTTATTCATTTAAAGAGATTCACGCTTCATTGTTTAAATTATCTTATATAAGATATGTAATCTGCTTCGTGCTAGTTTAATTTTTTAGTTTATAATTTTGTAGCTCTAATTTTGTATAAAATATTTCATTATTTTATTATTGTGTTCAAGTTAAGATATATTTTAATAGTATTTAAAAGTGGTGAATGATAGTACTTTACTTTATGACTAGAATCAAATCTCGTGAACATTTAACATCATGATACTGCTCCTATACTATTATTAAAAAAACACAATTTTTAAAATCTCCGTAAAAGGTTATTGTTAAATTACAGGCAACAGCCGACCGCTAGTGACTATACACGTTAGTAGTATGTAACTAATAAGTAATAAATGTAGGTAAAATTTATTGTTTTGTCCATCACAGAACCAGTATACGATTTAATTTTAAGGATGTATGAAAAGGTTTTTTTTAGTTGCATTTTATTTTGTACATTGTCCATCTAGTAAAATAGAAGTATAATATAGCTTTAAAATAATGTAATCTATGAAGTATAAATAGTTTGTGTGAGATTGCTCAAATGGAAGTATATAATACCTAAATATTAATTTTATTGAGAATAAGCAATTATAATTTAAACTATGGAGTACAAACGATTGAAACATGAATCGACGACCATTCCAACAAAATTTAACAAGACATTGTATATGTGTTATTTGGTCCACTACGTTTTTGCAAAAAAAAAAAAAAACAGTACAGTGGGGTCGGGGCATAGTGGGGACGGAGCATAGTTGGATCGGGGCATAGTGGGGATGGGGAGGTTACAGATTTACAGGAATTTTTTAATCTGAAAGTGATAAAATCACTTTCGAAAAAACGCTTCGATACAAATCGGTAGTTAGTATTTCTAGCCAGTACAATCCAAACCAAACACAGTATAAATCAGTTAAGTTAGAAAGTTTTAAACTGAGGTTCTGTATTTACCAATAAGCATCAAAGCGATTATTTGAAAGTGATTTTATTCAATTTTATCACTTTTATTTATAATAGTTCCTGTAGACCTGTGACCTCTCCGTTTCCTCATTGTTTTGATTCCATTAAGCCTATACTCTACTGTACTAGTCCTCTCGGATAAAATCACTTATGCCACGACCCCACTGTACTGGTTTTTTTTTTACTTGCCTTTTTCTATCTAACTTTTTATGAGACCAAATTTGAAGTTTCTAATATTTTAATTTTAATATTTTACTTTTATTATTATTGACTAAAACAATATCCCGCTACTGTAAAACTTTGTTTGACACTGTGACAACTTTTATTTTTCTGTTGTCAAATTTAAACCACTAATCAATTTAAAATCATCATTAATAATATAGACATACATAATTTATTAATATGGTCGTTATTTTAAACACAAAAAAAAAGAAATTTAACTGTAAAAGATTAGTTAAATTATTTTAGCGGCTCGTTTTGTTATCAATTTTTATCAATATTTTTCAATACTTTGAAAATGTTAACCTTCATTCCTTATACGAACATAAAAGTTTTTATTTCATAAAATATATGTAGACGAACAATTTTAATACATTGTAGTGTTTGAATTTTCAACAATCTATTCGTTTACTATGACTGTAATGATGTTGTTTATGGTATATGTGTGTTTTGGTGGAATTATTGAATTTACGGCGTTTCGTATAGGCAAACTGCAACGCCGGAATGTTCTAAGGTCGGTATAAGGAACGGCGCGGCGTTGTTTTTGTACACCAGTACGGAAAACGACCGTGCTATGACTTATAAAATAAATGAATAAACTGACAAGGGAAAAAAGAGGACGTACATCAGAGTTTTGCTGATTCTTATTCGAATAAAACGTTTTTTGAGTAATTTGTGTACAATTTATTTAAGTAGAAAAATCATTCGAATTATTTTTTTGAAAACTATTTGAATAATTGTTTTACAATTTTTTCGAATAAAAAATTGTCTTCCTACATATAATGGTAAAGTATACTTTGTTTTACTTCCCATTGTCAATTATGTCCAATTTCTTAACCAATGGGCCATTCGTTTTTTCTTATAAATAGAGAAAAGTTACATTTATAACTTCAAAACCACAGTAAATTCATCTACATACATGCATTTAAATTATTTAGCTTTACAAAATAATTTTAAAAGATCAGACAACATAACTTTCTTATTTATAAAACAAAAGTAGTTATAATAGTAGTTACATAAATTTATATGTCACTGGGCCTTGGTCTATATTGTATTATTAAAATAAAAATGAAATAAAATAAGTACAAAATAGTTACAATATAATTTAAATTATCAAAAAAAAGTCGTGCATTTAGAAATAATTAATTATACTTATCTAATCAAACATAAGTACAAATAAAGTTACAAATGTTTTTTTTAAATATCCTAATAAACAAGTTACAATTAATAAAAAAAGCTACAAATTACTTTTTATAAAATTGTGTTTTTTCCATAATAATTATTTTGTGTTATTTGGAACAATAAATTATTAATTGAAACTTAACAATATTGGATATTGTCTTCAACAAAACTATAGCGTTCCGAATTAGTATTCAGGAAAGTAAGTAATTGTTTTTGTGTTAATTTGTTAATTTTCTTTCTTTTTTTGACGATACATTTCCCGATCTTAGATAACTTTTAATATATAAGATGTTATTCTAAACTAATGGTATAATACTATTCTCAATTAATATTAGTGTCTATATACTTTTTTCCACATCTCGTCACGTTCACTAATTATTATTACTATACACATTTATATGATTGTTTGTGTTCGTGCGATTAGGGTAAGTTTTTTAGGACGTACTTATTTAATTTAACTTTAAAAAAAACAGTAAAAGACTTATATTGTTGGGTTTTACAATGGTTCTCGCTAGTATTTCTTTATTGTTAAAGGACAGTTTATAAATAGTCACAGAACCTTAAGTGTACTGTTGGTAGTACTAAAAAAAATCTAGACTTGTTCATTTTTTTCAAAAGGTAAAATATGTTTTCGAATACCTATGTTTGTATATTCTTAAAGTTATTTCAAATCAAAGTCACACAGTGTTTTAATTATATCTTAGGACTAAGTAAAATATTGTCACTTTTTAGATAAAATAACATTAAAATTTTTAATAATAATTTCACCGTTTGGTCGTCAAGGCAATTTTTGTCTTGTACCTTGTAAACAACACGGTTTTCTTCGCATTTTGATCTTGACAGCCCGGATAAACACTTTGAATTATTCTAACCAACCTCTGTTAAATCAAAAAGCTTACTTCGATTATCATATCAAACTTATACTTACTTATTCTTGTTATTTACACTTTTATTGCATAATTATTTTCAGTTTTTTCTACATTTTTTATTATTTTTGTATATTTACATTCTGTATTTACTTGTAACACTTTTGTATTTTGTGTTAATTGTTTTTTTGTTTATTTCATTGTTTTTTTTATATATTTATTAAGTTTCATTCTTTTGATTTTTTATACAACGGTGACCGATTACAGGTAAGTTCTTATTTTAAGATGATGTTATAAACTAAAGATAAAATACTATTCTCAATTAGTACAATAGTGTCCACATACTTTTTTTTCTCTTCTCGTTACGTTTTTATATTTAATAATTATTTCTATGATACACATTTTTATGATATGTGTTCGTACGACTAGGTTTAGATTTTTAGGATGTACTTATTTAATAAAACTCTAACAGTCATAGAAATTTAAGTGTTCTGTTGTTAGTATAGATACTAAAAAACTGTTTTAGAAAAAAATGCATTTTTAGTTAGTAAAAAAAATTAATTTAACAACATGCGTCGGCTGTATATTGTAGCTTTCTTGATCCGACGTTTTAATAATATTTATTACTGAAGGAATTTTGAAAAAGAAAAGCTGATAATTTTATCTTACCAAAAGCAATTTAATAAACTAAATGACTAATTATTTTCACTTTTAAAACTTGTACATTTTTTTTAAAACATAAAATATGTTTTTCAATATGTACATATAATATTCTTAGAGTTGTCTCAAATCAAAGTCACGCGACATGCGTTCGGAGCTTATTTTTTAAACACAGTATTTGAATTATATTATCATAGGACTAAGTTAGAAAATATTGTCACTTTTTAGCTAAAATGGCACCGTTAGAAAGAGATCCACCCAAATTCTTATTTGATCATATAACAGACATAAACGAAGACTTTTTGACGGACGACGAAGAAGACTTATTTCCAGAACGCCTTATATACAAGTACTAAAGCTTGACAAAATAGTAGCTGGCTAGTCGAGTTTAACAACAGCTAGTGTTAATAATACAATTGTTTTTTTATGTATAATTCGTTTTAGCGACATAGACACAAGAGATAGAGACACGGACGAAGAGATTGACATAAACACCGACGAGTTAAATAACTATATACCTGAAATAGTATTGGAAGTCATTAGACAATGGAGTACATACTTTAATAGTGCTGTTCCGCCACTTGTCAACAACCATGACAGAAAGACAGAGGACAGCGATGACGAGTCAATTGAGACAGACGAAACCGACGACAGAGAGACGGAAGACAACGATGACGAGTCAATTGAGACAGACGAAACCGACGATAGAGAGACAGAGGACAACGATGACACAGAGACAGAGGACAGCGATGACAAAGAGACAGAGGACAACGATGACAAGTCAATTGAGACAGACGAAACCGACGACAGAGAGACAGAAGACAACGATGACAAGTCAATTGAGACAGATGAAACCGACGACAGAGAGACAGAGGACAACGATGACGAGTCAATTGAGACAGACGAAACCGACAAAATCCACGACGACGACGAATATTCCCGGAACTTCATGCCCACATACAGCTTCGATGCAAGGCTTGCATATTTCAAGTAAGTGCGACCGCTTGGTATTACATTTTTCATATTTTGTGCACCATATAGCTTATCATTGTAAATTAATGTGTACATAAAAAAAATGATTTATTTCCTTCCGGCTGGGTGATCATATTTTGTTATCATTGATGACGACTTAGATAACCTAATCCGAGAAATAGTATTAGAAAACAAATGAAATACATACTGTAATACTTTTAGCGCCATTCGCCCGCCTGTCAACGAACGCCGACCAGTTGAGTCAGACTCGGACGACCCGCAGCCGTGCTCATCATCAGGTCTGAAGAGACCGCGTTTAGACTCTGATGATGAGCAACCCAGGTCAACAAAGCGGAGACGGCCAACGTCGTACCAGTCAGAAAGCGAAGAAAGCGAGTCGGACAACTTTTAATAGTACTCCAGCCGATAAACTGTGGCCGGCAAGTCGGTGAAGCCGTTGGCGGACACGTGTGCTGTAGTAGCGCGAGATGCTGCAGCCACTGTCTCCGTCCAATCGCATCCCGAACTTGTCCGGCCGGCCTGTTGAGGAAGACGTGAAGTAGTAATCCAGACGATGGAAACGAAGGGACAACTCGGGAACGACGGTGACGGTGCAAGCCAGTAGCGCGAAATGCTGGCCCACCGTCCCATCTAACCGTATCCTGGACAGTCTGTCGGGGAAGATGTGTAGCGGTGAAGCAGACGGCAGTACTCCAGACAATGAGTGACGAGGAGACGATGAAATATTTTCAATTGAATTTCAGAACAAAATAATAATAATACATGTATTATATGTTCATTAAATATTATTATTATTCAATATATTATGTATATTGCAATTTTGGATTCTAAAATTACTTTACCACTGATGGCAGAGACGTGCTCGGTGGCAAACTATTGGGCACATTTGAACCTGGTAATCTACTTTTTGTATGCGGTGGCCGTCGGAAGACAGTTTACGTTTTTTAATTAGATTGGATTTACTGCGGTGGAACAAAAAATGATATAGGTGATTTGTTTATTTCTTTAATTGAGTAGTAGTAAAACATTGCTTTGAAACATGAAATATATAAAGCACGATAACTATAATCTTTTGAGTTTTGAGGATCCCGGAGCTGTGTGTTAAATTTTTTCTTATTTAGTAATTTATATTTTTTCTATATTAAATAAACAATTCACATGGGACACGTCTTATAAAATGATTTAAATATTTTAAAAATATTATCAAAGGTGCTTGATGCGACTTGTTCTAGAATACTATATTATATAAATCGACATAAAAAATTTTCACTCCACTCCAATAGTCACGTCCCGACATAATATTATACCTGAAATAATGAATAAATTAATAAGCATTTTTACGTCGACTTAGGCGGCACAGAAACACTGCCTATATAACTTTTTTTAAAACATTTCTAAAAAATAGTAAAAAAGTGAACACTTAAAAAATAACAATTTCACTACAAGAACAATTTACCAATCAATTGTAGTACAGTTTATTTAAAATGTCAATTACTTGGAAAGCAACCGAAAATCAACTAAAATTTTAAATAATGTTGAATATCCTTCAACAAATTATATATACTAGTCAGTATATATAATATTATACGAAGATAAGAGAAAGACGGTTCATACTTGCAGTGGGTTAATTTCTAGCATAGTATGCGGAAAAAAAAATATATATGGTTACCTACTTATAGTTAATAATAAAAATCTGTGGCTTGAAGCAAGAAGGCCAAGATTTAAGGTGTTCATGTTAAAATGTACAAAATATTCGCACAGCTTGTTGATGTGTTTCCGAAACGGGGAAAATGCTTTGGATGAAGTATTATCATTAAAGTTTAGTCCAGTGGCGGCCGACTACAGTACTCTATAGGTATTTTGTTTTATTTACAGACTGTGCTGATGTATAAGAGGAAAAAAAACTCCTCTTGTCCAATTAGAAATACTCATGAACCATATATTGTGTTTCGTGGCGCTCAACCGTTCCTAATTCTAACTAAACATTTATTCGGAAAACACAAAGCCATAATAAGAGATAAGAATGTTTGATAACAGATGAAGAGCCACAAGATGTAAAGTAAAAATCGACCATTCAGCCCCCACAGAGAAAATTGTAAGTGTACTATAAAAAATGTAAAAAAAAACAGTTATATCTGTTCGGTAGACATGCCAAAAAGTGCCTTTAATAACTTTTATTTTTTTATTAAACTTTCGCCATAACTCGGATCCACAATTTCTTATTGATAATTATTGTAAAATAAACATTATAAACAAGTTGGAACTCTTGTAAGGGCTTCAAAATTAAGTTAGGTGTAATATAATTTCCCTTAACGGCTTTTCGTTAACGTTTTTTCATGTTAAAGTAGTTTTTATAATTTTTTTTTTTTTTTTAATGTAAATATTTCAGCTAAATTATAAAATTTATTGATCAGATTATATTGTTCTCTGCGTCAGACATTTTTTAACGGTTCGTCATTTTCGCCTAGTTGGCATTACTTTTTTAAAGTAGCATAACGTTATTGCAAATTATACAATACCATTACCCTTTATGTTATGTATATTCACATTGATAACCGGTACAGTTCTCTTCAGACGCCATTCACATGGTAGCCACCGGTTGTTTACGTTTTTCATGCGTTGCAATTATTTTTTTATTAAATAGTGTACATCTATTGTAATCTTCATTTAAAGTTGCACATTGTGTATTATTTATAACCTTTGTAGTATTACAATTATCATGTAATAAAACATCCAAACAGGACAGAAATCTAGTACAGAAACCTAAATATTATACACTTGGTTTGTTAAGGTTACACGAGCCCCGAATAATAATTATTACTTCAATGACTGTTTAAATATTTAAGCACAATCCATCGAACCGTTATAAGGTCTAATGTAATAAACCGCACCACTGCCTGTTCACTAAACTACCCTTTCTCGCTTTCCCACATTGGCCCAAAATAGGGTAATTTTAACAGATAGCACATTTAATTCAGTCTTACCATACAGACAGTTGCCAAAAGCTATCAACGAATGAGTCGTACGAATCGATCATGACTTGATCGTATCACTAAATCGAGCAGTTAAATTAATTAAAGGTTATTAAACTAATTTTGGAAACTAATTTTTTAACGGTTAATTTAGCTAAACCATAGAAAACTCAATTTTCCATTAAACTAAACCAACTGAGGTAGATTGAGGTTTTACATTGGAATATCAATAGCTAGGCATTTACGACCGTTACTGGAAAGAGTATAATGTGCAAATAATTTATGTCACAAATCGAGTATCAGTCAGATTAGCGAGAAGTTTTCTACTTTAAACGTAAATTGTTGAATAATCGAAAAAAATTTGTCTCTAAAATATGCATTATGCAATAGGAACATATTAAATCTTTCCCTTGGAGCAAAGACATTGTCGATCGTCATTATGTCTTATAATCAGCTATGATTTTCTGTCTCTTAACTGGCACAGTACTTTTCGAAAATTCCAACCCTTCAATCAAGGATGGCCGTGGTTACCATGGTTACAAACAAAATATTTTAAATAAATAAATACGTGTTAGTAATATACAATAATGTGTTTAAATAACATAAAATCAACAAATTTCAAATAACCTTCGGTCATTCGGTCGGACGAGTGAAGCCATCAGAGTGCCTACGTTGCGCGGTACAGAACCGAAGCAGAATTTTTTTTTTTGCATTTTTTTACATTTATTTTTTCATTTTTTTCGAGTCTTCTAAACGGGTTATAATAGTTTGGTGTGAAAAAGCCAATAAATAACTATAGCATAATAGTCTTAATCATGTTTGAGACTTCTTAACGGGTACAATAGTTTAACGCCACAAAGCCAATAAATAACTATAACATACAGCGGCGTAAGTTGGACCGAATTTTGGAGGTTGCAAAGTATATTTAAATTATAATATTTAATTAACATAGGTAGGAACTTAAATACAAATTTACGTGTCAACAGACTTGTTACGGTTCGCAGTTTCATATAGATTTGCGATAAACTAATTTCGATTTCGCATTCGATTTTGTTTTAATGACATATAGCTAGATTTTAATATACCTAATATATAAGATGTGATGTACCGAATAAAGGGCATACGAGTTGCCTTTAATCTAAAGATTCACACTTCGATAAACAGAATTGGAGTATCGTTTCTATCGTTTGGTACAATGAAATTATAGTCTTGAGAAGTTAATATAGAACGCTTTTTTTGAGACTTCTTAACGGGTACTTGTCCTACAAATATTTCTCATTTGAAACCAGACTTCTACACGGTACTGTAGTGGTTTTATACAGTACCCAGAGTGGTAACCGTATAGGTACATAATTTAATACACGGTAACCGGTAAGACTCGTTCAGTTTCGCGCCAAAATCTACATCTACCGTATGGAATTTAATAAAAGAATACCGTCTTGAATTGCCGGCGTTTTGCATAATATCTTATCACTGGTGAGCGATATAGTTTAATTGTTATCAATAATTTCTTATCAGTTATTCAGGAATTACCAAAATCCTTTCTCACCATTCCATCCGTAACCTAACCTAATGGCATTACTATAAGTTCTATAGATAAATATATAAAATCAACAGAAGTCATGTTGTAATTGTAATATTATCATAACAACTTCCGCCACCGGAAAATATTATTATAATGTGAAAAAAAATGAAACGTACAAACCCCACAGCTGTTAACGATATGTTCAGTAGACATAGACGGTTTTCTGGTCTCGAAGAAATGGACGTTGAGAATTGATAAATATAATACAACGTAAAAAGAAACTTTTTTTCCCTCGTCCGGCGGGTTAGGTTAGGTTAGGAAAAACGTTGGAAAAATCATTAAGTATTGCTTAATCATTGAGT